TTTTTGTTTACTTGTTTTATTATAAAAAGCATGCCGTTTGTAGAATTTGGGAGAGTTCAGAAAAATGTAAAGAAGCTAAAATTAGAAAATATTCATAATCCCATAATCCATACGCAACTCAGCTGTTTTTAATATTTTTGACTTCTAGTCTTTTTCAAGCCTTTTCACTTAGTGAATTATAACACATATAAAATTAGATGAACTGCCTGTCTTACTTTGTAAACTCATTGAATACCTATATAATATTTCCTTAGATAAACTATAATTTACTTAAAATTTATTTCTGCATTACTGGAATTTAAGCTTTATCCAGATTTTTGCTTTTATAAGTGAGACAATGATGAACATCTTTGAGCATCTATCATTGCCACATTCCAGATTACTAGAAGCTTGATTCGTAAATGGAATTTAATACTTCTTTGTCTTGGTTTTTGAAACTCACTTCATATTTTGTCAATGGTATCATTGCCATTAGACCTGGCATCATTAGTCATTTATTAAATGCCTGTAGAATGCCTTGTATTTATAGTTTGAATTCGAAAGAGTATCTAACTCCAAATCTGGTTTTAAAACCTTATATTTTAGAAGGAAGGAGAAATGACTTGGCAGATTAAAGAAAAAGCAGGATAGAGAAGAACCAATGAAATAGTACAGGAATAAATTTAACCTACTATAACTAATAGGAGAGCTGACAGGTAAACGTAAGCCAACAATATTTTGCAGTAGTTTTAAACAGGCATGCAAATAGATGTAAATACTTTCTGTATATTTCTTGTAAGATGTTGTGTGTCAAAGGTTGGCAAAATCCTTTCCCCATCTGTCAGATGAGAATCTGACCTTCAGTTAACTTTCTACCTCTGTCCCTGGTAACCTGATAAGAAAGTGTCTTAAATTGGGTTTCCCAGGTAACAGATTTTGAAGTTGCATGCTGGAAGTTCATTGGGGAGTTTTTGGGATCTGCACTTGTAAGGGAGTAGGGGGGGAAAAGGAATTTCGAAGGAGGATCTGAACTGCCCTGCCATACAGTCACAACAAAGGCCTCATCCAAATCTATGCTGACCTCTGCATCTGGGATGGCTCTTGAGGCAAGAGATAGGGCCCTTATAGATCCACATCATCGCAAACAGTCATTGAATATAAGTTGCCTCAGAAGTGGGACTGTTAATTTAGACAATTTAACTTTCTTTGGGTGAGAACAATTCCTAGTCAGTGCCTCAGTTAAAGGTAATCAGGGCCAATACTCCCACAGCTCAGGGAATGAGTGCCATATAACTAAAAGGAGATCTGGGAAGCGTACCACACCATCCACTGTGAGTGGTTGGTAGGCAACATTGCCTATGGTAGAAAATCACTTTGGATCGGTAAACTGGATTAGAAGGAGATAAAGACTATACATACTATAGCTTTGATCTTCCCCGGGGGTAGTAATTCTTGTAATTGGGCATGTTCCAAGGAGGCAGGAACCCGGGAAGCCATGCCTATGGAGTTGTTGCAAGAGGTATTGGCTTCTGTGGGCTGTAAGACTTTTAAGTCTGGTTCCCTCATTGCTGAGCTAGCACCCCCTGGCCAAAGGGCAGAACTCCTGGAAGTCCATGTGGGCTGCTACTGGAACTGCTGCGAGGCTCTCACCAAAGGTGCTGCCCTAAAGGCAACCTGTCATTTCTACCCCGTATTTTGTAGGGTCAGTGGCTGTCAAGTGTGGCCCAAATTATTTACTTGTGCTTATAGATGACCCCATAAGTGGATATTGTAGACATTTTTCAATCGGTTCTTAACTTTTTAGAAAATTTGCTTTTAAAACCTAAAACTAATGAATAATGTAATGATCTTAGAGTGGTGCTGAAAATATTTAAGTACTTAGGGCACATGAATACTTGAGGTTTCTTTTTGTTACTGCTGACAGGCCATTATTAAACAGATGTTGTCTCCCCTATAGTATAGAAAAGAATCAGCGATAATACTAATCTCTGAAAACAGTAGTCTTTATATGTGAACAGTGGAAAGAAGTGTTTGTTCTTAGCTCTCCTTTAGTCATAGATGGGTCATTTGGGCCTGTTTGGCAGTTTCCCTCATATGCTGTGAGTCACAAAGTTTTGCTAATTCTTCTCTTGCAAATGACTCATTCCATCCCTTTCCATTCACTCTGCTGCCACCCCAAGTAGTATTTATAGTCTTTATCACTTTATATATGTGGATTATGGAACATGCTGCCTTGAAAGTGCTCTCTGCCTTTAGGTTTTGTCTTATCTGAGCTGCATTATCTGTGAGATCTCAGACTGAATTCCATGATAGAGTTTTGTCTAGCGTTTACAGACTGTTAATGTGAAAACCAAATTTTCCTGGAGCCTATATAACGTCTCAGGAAATAGTGAGAAGAAAGGCTAGAAAGACAGGATTAAAGGGAAAGAGTAGAAGAAATTAGACTACTTAGGAATCTATTGTAAGAGGACCCAAACTGAGGTTGGAATGGAAAGGATGGGACAGGTAGGTTCTCAAAGAATTGGTGATTGTGAGAAGAAAGCGGGGAGAACCTCACTGAGGTCAGATCATATGGATTTATAATGTGTCCATTGGACTTGGTGTCAGGAGTAGGGAATGTAATACTTCTCAGATACTACTGCCCCTTATATCTTTATGTAACACCTTCACGAAATTGCAAACACATTAAAGAGCAGGATCATGGCTTGCTTCTTCTTGTCCTTACACACCCACTTCCAGATCAGAGTATCATGGGAACAGAGTAATCTAATCTTCTATATGTCTTTATTCTGTCAATTCATAAAAGAAATTTATTACCATCACGGGTTTTTAAGAGTGTTAGTTCTGCCAGCCATAGCATGTAGAAACTCCATCTGTTTTGTGTTTACATTTCTTTCTCTTTTGGGGTGGTGGTGGTGGTATTGGAAATGGGTTTTTTGCATTTTTTATTTTTCAATTACAGTTAACTTTCAGTATTATTTTGTATTGGTTTCAGGTGTACGTCATATACTTCACAAATTGTCTCCACCCTCCCCGTTATTTCCAGTACCCACCTGTCACCACACATAGTTATCACAATATTATTGACTATATTCCCTATACATTTCTTTCATTGTGAGATAAAACTATGAAGACCAGGTGTCTGGGTTTTGTCTGGATTGTCTGAATTTAGACCTGTTCTCCCAATACAATTTGTATTTCTGTATATGACTACAAAGTTATAAGTAATCATCCTGAAGATAAATATTTTTTTTATTTATTACCCTAAGATTTAATGAACAAGACACAGCTCTTGGTCTCAAGAATTTGCTAATCTAGCAAGCAATTAGCAATAGAAATCATTCAGTGCAATAATGGGAGCATGCACAGATGTTATTGTGGGACATTACCTATCTTGGGGGATAATTGGGGAGACTTTTGATAGAAAGTGATGCCTCATTTGAGTTCTGAAGATAAGTAGGAGTTATGTAGGTGAAGGAGGTGAGTGAAGTGAGGGCATGGCACAGGTGTCACTTTGGAAACAAAGGAAATAGTCCAGAGGCAAGAAAAGTATGGCGCAGATAGGTTACTGCAAGTTGCTTCCTGCAGTTGGAACACAGAGAGTGTTCTCTGTTGTCTCTCGTGGTGGGAAATGGGTGTCTTTTGGATCATTGTGTTTTGCAGGGCAATAGTAAGACATAGTTCAAGGCAGAAGCCAGATCATGAAAGGTCTTAATGTTATGTATACTGAGTTCGAACTTGATTCTGAGGGCAATGAAGAAATTTTGAAGGGCTCTAAGCAGGAAGTGAGTAATGTGGCAACATGATCATATTGCATTTTTGAAAAGTTGTCCTCACTACAGAACTAGACAATGAGAATGGCAAGAAGTGGATGGGTTAAGAGACAAGTGGGGACAGAATAAACAGGATTTTAATGATTGATTATATGTGGAGTTTGAGGAAGAGAGAAATAAAATACGATTCTCAGAATTCAGCTGGAAGTGGGGAGCAAAAACAGTGACATAGGTTCACAGAGGATGTTCTTAGCCTAGTGTTGAATTGGTTGAGTTTGAATTATCTTTGGGACATCCAGAGGAAATGACTTGGTCTGCAGCTATCAAGAGAAATTTAGGGCAGAGATAGATATAAGGGAACAACAGCTTTTAGGTGGCAAGTGAAACAATTCATATGGACCTTCTTAGGGAATTTATCTTTTGGTGTTAAAGCTTCCAGGAAATATTTGTACAAAACATTTTCACGATGTTTAGTTTTGAGCAGTTTGTTTTCTAATCAGTATTATTTAGCTCTTTAGGTATTTTTTTTCCTTTTCCCATTATTCAGGTTTTATCACAATATGTGTCCGTTATAGAAATAAACACAAGAAAATGAAGTTCTTATAAAACTTTTGGAATTAAAGCAGCATGCATACATGCATTAAGGTTTAACAATTTAGGGAAATATGAAAGGCTTTGGGTTTATATGTTTAGATTTCTCCCAGTTCTAGAAAAGTAATTGTATGGAAAATTTCTTTCTTAATGTATATTTTAAATGATATAAATAGAAAATATTTGTTGCTGATTTCTGCTTATTTTCAGCTTACTGAGACACTTAAAAAAATGTATAGTTCAAATAATTTAATATAAATATTTTCAGATACACATATAGAATTATACCTGAATTTTTTAGTGTTACAGTTTTATCATAAGACCACTATAATTTTCTGCTATGCAATGAATATCCTTAGATATATTTTAATATCTCAGATATACCTAGAATGCACTATTCTCTCAACAATGTGCTTATTTTAATATTTTGTTTCAAAAGATTATAGTAGCAGTTAAGTTTAGCAATATTTTAATAATAGTATAATACTAATTTATTTTCTAATTTGAATTTTTAAAGTAGTCCTTTTGTGTTATTATTTTGAATAAGCCATAACCATCTTATTTCTTATGCTATATAAGCAAGCATGTAACTTAATTTTTGATGACTCTGATAGTAATTAGATACAGTATTTCATATATGATATTTCTTTTTTACAGGACAATGGTTCTCCTGAAGAACATGCGATCTATGTGTGGGACCATTTCATAGCCCAGTCGGCAGCTGAGAATGTATTTTTTGTTGCTCACAGCTATGGAGGACTTGCTTTTGTTGAACTAGTAAGTGCACGTTTAACTCTAGTTTTAATCCCCAAACTTTCTGTAGGTTTATCGCCTCCATTCCCTTTTTGTTGGCATAATTACTTTAAATCACTTTATTGTGGATGAAAATACTTTTTGAGTAAATAATTTTATTCTGTTTAAAAAGACTATACTTAATTATTTTATTTTGGCAGAGCTTTAAAATACTAATCAGAACGCTTTTTGCCTGTTCCTTATCTAATCATAACTTTTTAATTTATACTTTATAGCCCCAGTTTCTATACATTTTATGATATCTATGTTTCCTGTCTTATGTGTATATCATTGACATATATATATATATATATATATATATATATATATATATACACCCACACGCCTACATACCCACTAAAGGACTGAGGCGCCAAAATTTGTGCACTCGGTGGGGAGAGGGGGTCCCTCAGCCCGGCCTGTGCCCTCTCGCAGTCTGGGACCCCTCGGGAGATAATGACCTGCTGGCTTAGGCCTGCTCCCGGGTGGCAGAAGGCAGGCCCAATCCCTAGGTGCAGCTCCTGATCGGGCTCAGAGCAGGGCCAATTGAGGAGTTGGGGCGCTGCCCCCTGTCATGCACAGAGCAGGGCGGATCGGGAGGTTGTGATGCCACCCCTAGTCACGCTCAGGGTAGGGCCGATTGGGAGGTTGGGGCACCACCCCCTGTCACACTCAAGGCAGGGTCAATAGAGAAGTTGCAGCGCCACCCCCTGTCACGCACAGAGCAGGGCTGATCAGGGGGTTGGGGCGCTGCCCCCTGTCATGCACAGAGCAGGGCCCATCAGGGGGTTTGGGGCTCCGTACCCTGTCACACACAGAGCAGGGCCGATCAGGGGGTTGAGGAGCTCCCCCCTGTCACGCACAGAGCAGGGCCGATCAGGGGGTTGAGGAGCTCCCCCCTGTCACGCACAGAGCAGGGCCGATCAGGGGGTTGAGAAGCTCCCCCCTGTCACTCACAGAGTAGGGTCAATAGGGGAGTTGGGGCACCGCCCCCTGTCACACACAGAGCAGGGCGGATCAAGGGGTTGGGGCACTGCCCCCTGTCATGCACAGAGCAGGGCCCATCAGGGGGTTGAGTAGCTCCCCCCTGTCACTCACAGAGTGGGGCTGATAGGGTATTTGGGACACCGCCCCCTGTCACACACAGAGCAGGGCGGATCAGGGGGTTGGGGCACCGCCCTCTATCACCCACAGAGCAAGACCGATCAGGGGGTTGGAGCGCCGCCCTCTATCACCCACAGAGCAGGGCCGATGGGAAGGTTATGGCTCTACCCCGTCACACACAGAGCAGGGCCCGTGGGGGGGTGGGGGGGGGGGCGGGAGTTGGGGCGCTGCACCCTGTCACACACAGAGCAGGGCGCATCAGGGGGTTGGGGCGCCGCCCCTGTCACAATCAGGGCAGGGGCGATGGGGAGGTTAAGGCTCTACCCCCTCACACAAAGAGCAGGGGCCGTGGCGGGGGGTGGGGTTTGGGGCGCCACACCCTGTCACACACAGAGCAGGGCCAATCAGGGGGTTGGGGCGCTGCACCCTGTCACACACAGAGCCGCAGGGCGATCAGGGGGTTGGGGAGCTCCCCCCTATCAGGCACAGAGCAGGGCTGATCAGGGGGTTGGGGCGCCTTCCCCTGTCAGGAACAGAGCAGGGCGGATAGGGAGGTTGTGGCCCCGCCCCCTGTCACACACAGAGCCGCAGGGCGATCAGGGGTTTTGGGCGCTGCCCCCTGTCACACTGATCCCGGTGCTGGGAGGCATATTACCCTTTTACTATATAGGATAGAGGCCTGGTGCACGGGTGGGGGCTGGCTGGTTTGCCCTGAAGGGTGTCCTGGATCAGGGTGGGGGTCCTCACTGGGGTGCCTGGCCAGTCTGGGTGAGGGGCTGAGGGCTGTTTTCAGGCTGCCGGGTGACTGAAGCTCCCAACCGCTCCTTTTTTTCTTTTTTTTTTTAATTCTGGGCCAGCTTTAGCTCTGAGGCCTCGGCTGCTGAAAGCAGGTTTCTGGCCTTTGTTTACCTTCTGTATTTGAAACAATGTTGCGGTCCTGCTGGCTGAAGCCTGGCTGACTAAAGCAGGTTTCTGGGTTTGGTTTAGCTTCTATATTTGTTTCAGTGTTTCTTAGAGTTGCAGCTCAGAGGCCGGCAAGGCAGGCGGGGAAGCTTGGCTTCCTCCGTCACTGAAGCAAGCAAGCCTCCCTGTTCGCATCAGCTGCCTGGCTGCCGGCCGCCATCTTGGTTGGCAGTTAATTTGCATATCTCCCTGATTAGCCAATGGGAAGGGTAGCGGAGGTACGGCTAATTACCATGTTTCTCTTTTATTAGATAGGATACACACACACACACACACGCACACACACACACATATCTGTAAAGTGTTAAAAATTTCAAGAGACCCTTTGAATATTTGGGAATATTTTTATTTTTAAATAATTCTTTATTGTTGAAAGTATTACATATGTCCCTTTACTTCCCCCAATGACCCCCATCTAGCCCCTTCCCTGCCCCCGCTCTACTACAGGCCTTCAGCACCCTATTGTCTGTGGTCTGTGTCCATTGGTTGATATTTTGATAACCTTTACCTGGTTTATCTCTACAAGTTAGCACTTGGTCAGAATCTACGTAATTAAAACTATCAGAAAGCTTCCATTATTCTGTTGGGTGCAAAAATATTTGCATTTCAAAATAATCTGATTGTTAGAGTTAAGATTATATGTACATGGTAGAAAAAATGATCAAGATTTCTGAATTTTGTCTGTATTATCTGCAATATTACAAGTGAATGATTAATGAGATATAATCAGTATTAAAAATACACTGCTGAAGAATTTGTGCCTTTATACCCATAACCCCTTACGTCACAGGAAGGTATCAGTGCTACAATAAAGTGATTAATTTTGATTAAAGTCCATTTGATAATTTTAAATCCAGTAGCCTCAAGTGGACATTGAACACAGGCACAGCATTGGTTGTCTTAATTTTTGTTTCTAAGCTTTGCTATGTATTTCTCTTTTCATGGAAATTAGATATATTTCCATGGCTTTTTAACTTCCCCACACCTTATTGCTTACCCACATGATTTAGATATAACTGGTGGTGACACCAGAGAATAATTTTGCTGATATAAATTTTTCAAATGCTCATGCTCTCTTAAGATCAGGAAATGAATTAAATTGTTTATTTCTTCAATTGATTTTACTTTTTAGAAATGATTTCAAGTACTTTTATCTCTGTTGAATTTATTTTAATATATAATGGAAATATTAAGATAGCTAACAAACTGTTCTGATAACTTTTTAAAATGTGAATGTTTTCTTTTAAATAGTTCTTTTAATCCTACACACACACACACACACACACACACACACACAGCTTTCATATATATAGCATTAAATGACTTAAAACATATTTTATTGACAGAGTAATAAAATATGTCTGAAAGCCTGTAAGACTAATCAAATTTAAGATTTCTGTAACACATCAATTCTCTCTCTCTCTCTCTCTCTCTCTCTCTCTCTCTCTCTTTTTTTTTTCTTTTTTACTTTAAGACAGTTTATAAAAATCTTCTCTACATCATATTTGGAATTTAAGTAAGTTTTGGACAGTTTTTAAAATAAACTTAAGATGCCAGAGTAACAGATGACTAGTGTGTCACTCGTGTTTTGCCTGTCCTTCTTGTCACACACTGGTGAATATTTCTCCACTTTTGTTCCACTTTAATATAAAGCACACAGATGTTTCAGAACAAGACTTGACTTCTGACCTTGAGGCTATTTAGGGTCAGGGTCCTCAGGGCCTGTGAAATTATCACAAGCTGAGCTAAAGTTTTCCTCCATCACAGGAAGTAACCAGTAAGTAAGAAGTTAAAAAGGAGCTTTGTCAGAGAGACAAGATGGTCTCAGTGGGGTCAGCTTCTGTAGGCTGCTGTCTCAGCAGGAGGTGCATGCATGGGAGGAGGAATATAATATAACCACTGGCACATCACATATCTGTCAGGCAACACCAGGCGTGAGAAGTCCATTTAATGGAATATACCTTGTTTAGGTTTTTAAACATTAATGATGATTATCTCAACTTCATGTTTTTGCTACTTTTTGTGAAATAACTTAGATGGGGGTATGTAATGGGGTTAGATGGTGACAAAAGAAAAAGTGGTTTCTGGCCTAATGATATGGATTCCTATAAAAAACATAATATTGTGCACTGATAAGTTTTACATAAATTTTGACAAAAGTTGATTAATATATAAAGCCATTATATTTCTACTTAATTTCAAAAGGATTTTTAAAATTCAACATTGATAAAGATACAACAAAAAGACATTGCAATATTTTTCAGCCCTTTGCTTTTGCTTAAAGCTGAATAATATTACTTATTCTCCCAATATTCTTAGGGGAAAAGTCATGATGTTTAAAATGTTGACAAATATTCACTCTCTCAGGATTTTTTAACTTAAGTGTAATATTATTTTACATAGATTTAAAATGTTACTATTAACTTTATAAGAAAGTAAATTTTGATCATCTTCAATTATAGTTTAGATCTCTGTCTTAATAAATGTTATAAACATCAAATATTAAGTCCTTTGGATTTCAATAAAGTTAGACTTTTTAAAAGTGTCATAAAGGTGTACTCCAGTTAAAAAAACAACAACAAAAAAACTCCACACACACACACACTCCTTATGGAATAGTCGTAAGTTGTAACTTCATGTTTGAATGTATGAAGATTGTTTTTCTACCATTCTCATGTAAATTTACATTCTTTTTGTTTAGGTCGTGAGTTTTAAGAAAATGTATTTTGAATGTAACTTGTGTAGATAGTACAGCTTCAATAATACATGCAATTATTTAGAGTGCTTACTGTTTGAAAAGAAGGTACCAGTTAGGACTTATTCTAAAATGTATCCTGCGGCTTACTAAATTTAAATTGTTTATAATTATAGTTTAAAATTAAATGTGTTGCTAATATATATCTGAAAATAAATTACTT